AATTGTACTCATTCGTCTATTATATAGAATGATCATATCACCCTCCCACCAAAATGTTTAATAAAAATGTACATAATGTGACGTACTATACTGTTTTAAATGGAATGTTTTTGTCTATTACTATTTAATGTTTCCTACTTAAAGTCAATATTTTGATTAACTATGTGTGAGTATAGGAGCAGATAACGAAGCTTTTTGATTAGCAAGACGAAAATGGCTTTAAAATAACTTATAGCTACAGTTTGATAAAGTACCTAAGTGTTAGAATATAGTATTTGGGTTATTTATAAAATTGTTTAACGTTCCCAACTGTTGTGTACGACAATAACTATTTTAGGAAAACTTTTCATGTTGTTTAATGATACCATTTGTAATGTTACTGTTTCATAATGTTAATATAAGGCTTCTTGTGCTTCTTTTATTACTGGCATTTGGAGGTTTTCTCCCAAACCCGTAAGATTTTTATTATTTCTTACAGAAACATTTTATTGACACACAGGATGCTACAAAATGTGTCAAAGAATAGTTTTTGTTTTAAATTGTTGGTAACTACACCACGATTTCCCCGTTTATTGTATGCTACGTGGTCTCGCGCAGGGATGGGAAACTTCTATTCCTTCTTCTTGCGTTAACTTTTCGTTCGACACGCTGCTGATCAAACGCAGCTAATGGCGTGTTGATTCCAGAATATTTATTAAATACGAGGCTTTTCTATCTTTCACGATTCATCCGTAGTTTTGTGACTTCGACTTTCGGTCACCCCTCCGCTGAAATTAGTACCGCCTTTTCGTTCTTATCAGCGAGATAACGATCATCTTGTAAGCCATCCTTGATTTCAACTCAGCGGCCAGATGGATGCTTGGGGATTACATAAGAATTAGAACAACAAGATTTAACCAAAACATTTAACTGGCCAGGGGATACGTTCCTTTTCTTCAGTCTTGTCAAGCGCCCCTTAAAGGGTTAAATACTTGAATCGCGATTGGAACTACTAACGTTATTGTTGTTTGCCATTCATTAGTGTTACCCGATCGATTAATGACCGATTTTTTTTATCGCGTTAAAAAGATTTGGTGTACATTGCCTTCCTTCTGAAATAGTGTACGAGTTAATTATCGTATCCGATATTGAATCGTAGAATACAAGTAGAGATCATAGTTGGCCTCTCAGGCAGTCATTATTTAGGGCGGGTTGCACAAAGGCAGTTTAAACCTCGTTTAGATTAACGCAATGGATTAAGACATATGATTGGTTGAAATTTGACGTTTTATCAATTTCAACCAATCTTAGACCATAATCACTGAGACACTAGATACGCAGGTTAGATGCTTGGATTTCCTTTCTCTTTTGATTTGTCTTAGGTGATATGGAGAGCTCCTTAGGCTGAACACCTACCACAGATAACATTTTTCGTTTTCTGATAATTGCGCTTGTGTTTTTTTTATCGAAACAATTATTGAGCGTTGTCGTATTATGTTGGGAGACTTGTGTGTATTCCTTTCTGTAATTTTTATGCGATCATTGTTAGATTGGGACAGTTTTCATTGGGTATGAATTTGATAGGACTTTTGAGTCAAGTTTATTTTAATAATTTTGAATATTGGGGAGTATTTTTGTACGTGTGGGAATAAGCTATACAATTTTGGAGACAATTTTATTTTGGTATTGACTAGAATAAACCAGTATTTCTTCTGTTAATTTGATTTAAGTGCAGGACTAATACGAATCAGGCAGACAAACAAAACAACACCGATCCAGCGGTGGACGTTGAGGGCCTGAAAAGGAACCCGGGATCAGAGCTGGGCAGAATACTTTCAAAAAGTATTTGAATACTAAATACTTTTACGTCCAGCACAAGCGAATACTAGATACAGATACATTGAAAAGTATTCAAATACTTTAAAAAATAAGTATTCAAATACTATCAAAGGTATTCGAATACTTGTCACTCAAATACATTAAAAATATAAAATAGTATACTAGATAAAAGTCTTAATACTACTTAAAAAATCAAAGTTATACTTTGTATGGGATTAGCTTTTTTTATATTTCTATTGTTATATACAAATTTAAGGGGAGTAAAAGCGTATTATTATTATATTATTATATAGGAGGTACCTACCAGGACCTTTCTTATACCAGTTATATCCTTAAGAATACGTGTACCAGTTTTCAAAGCGTCGTGCACATGATACGTACGCCTTTCTAAAATTAATCCTAGCGATTTTGGATCCATTTTTGACCATCCGTTTGTCCGTGTGCATGATAGTTTATTTAGAAACGTGCGATCGCTTTGAAAATTGGTACACATCGTCTTAAGGATATAAGAAAGATCCCTATTGTTTTTAAGTTACGTAGACTATCGAATCAAAAAGTTTCATTCCAGGATCGTTCGGTAGTCAGTTGTATCGGAGTTTTATATTTGATTTTGTGACAATGGAAACTTTCCCTCAACATTTCTAAATTGTTCTCAAATATTTGAATAACTTAAAAGTACTGCCTTTTTTTGAGGACGGAAAAAAAATTGTCTGAGATCGACCGGGAAAAAACATTTTCTTATAGAATTTGGCCCGTAGAATCCATAATTTCAAACAGTTTGAAGATTGGGCTACTAGATCAAAAGTTACAGCCCTGTGAATTTTTTTTCGAAATTTGTTTTTTGTCCATAACTTTTTATTGAGAGGTCTAATCGTAAAAGTACGAATTGTTTTAGATTCTACGCACCAAAATTAATAAGAAAAAGTGTTTTCCCGAGAACTTTTGGTGTAGTCGATTTATGGTAAAAAAAGGAAGGTTATACACTGCCTAATTTTTGAAGCTCGAAGAAAAAATTGTCTCAGATCGACCCGGAAAAAAAATTTCTTATAGAATGTGGCCTGTAGAATCCATAATTTCAAACAGTTCCAAGATTGGGCTACTAGTTCAAAAGTTACAGCCCTTTGAATTTTCTTTCGAAATTGGTTTCTAGTCTATAACCTTTGATTGAGAAGTCTGATCGAAAAAGTACGAATTGATTTGGATTCTACGCACCAAAATTAATAAGAAAAAGTGTTTTCCCGAGAAATTTTGGTGTGGTCGATTTTTGGTAAAAAAGGAAGTTTATACACTGCCTTTTTTGAGGCGCGAAAAAAAATTGTCTCAGATCGACCCGGAAAATAAATTTTCTTATAGAATGTGGCCTGTAGAATCCATAATTTCAAACAGTTCCAAGATTGGGCTACTAGTTCAATAGTTACAGCCCTTATTCTTAACACCTTGTTTTGGAAGGTTTGCAACTTACGCAGGTGAGTGTTTGATGCGGTACACCAAATCGGACAAGCATACATCAGGACTGATCTCGGGATTGATTTGTAGATTAATACCGCACATTCGATTTTCAATGGTGAGCTCTTATTTAGTATGCAGGGGTCAGCAATCTATTGAAACAGAAGAGCCAAAAATTACAACTTATAAAATTTCCCAGTTTTGAAAGAGCCACAAAAAAATTTTGATTTAATATTATAGTATTTGGCTATATACAGGGACTTGCAACAATGCGTCGGTTTTTCCTACATAGATGATACCTGGTAAAAAATATTGGTCGTTGCGGATCTACAGAAATTATTTTTGCATGTACAGGGTGTCCCATTTTTACGATGTCAATAAATAACTGATCTTTTTAAATAGAACATCCTGCATATTTTTACTTGTTTCAATGCCATTTGTTCAAACTGCTATAACTATTCTTTTTCAAATGGAACTACTACTGTTTTATTTCGCTATTCGATTGTCTTTTGCGTTCTCTTCAATGTTTATAAGGGGTGCCCTGTGCTTAAACCCCGCAGTTTTTATGTTATTCAATATTTTTCACAAAAGTACCTACTCATTAATTAATTACGTGTTTATACATCGGAGTAGGCTGCTGTAACAAAAAAACAAAAGAATACAAGAAAGTAAAGGTAAACAGGTGTCACAAATTAGATAATTATTTGCTGCAAGTGTACTTTTGATTTGGTAAACAAATAAGATTAATTAAAAAGGCGAATTTCGAACAAATGAAGTAATTTCTTTAGATAAATACGGAGAGCCGCAACTTTATATCAAAAGAGCCGCATGCGGCTCGTGAGCCGCAGATTGCCGACCCCTGGTATAGGGTATAGCAATCTTAATTTATGATGCGCGTCTTTCAATTTTAGGTTTATATGTATTCCCCATGTTAGTCTGTGGTCCAAGTGTACGCCAAGGTATTTAACAGCTTGATCCTTGCGATTCCACGGTATTTGCTTGCCATTGATTTGAATGCATCTTGGATTGCTGTACCTTCTTAATTGGAAGATTTTTGTGACACATTTCGTTTCGTTGAGTAGTAGGTTCCGTCGGTTATACCAGCTACTAATTTCATCTACGGCTTGTTGAAGAGTCCCGATGGCTGTATCCAAATCAGAACTGTGTGTTACTATGGTTGTATCATCAGCAACCATCGAAAGAGAACAATTTACTGGGACAGGAATATCGTAAGTATAAATGTTGAAGAGTAAAGGGCCAAGTACAGGCCCCTGTGGCACACCTCTACTCTTGATGTTTGAAAGTGTTGAATTGATTCTGGTAGAGTACGTTCTATCACATAGAAAGGAAGATATAATGTTGATGATGTAGTTTGGAAATTCAAGTTCTAGCATTTTATGTAATAAGCCCGCATGCCAAACCTTGTCGAATGCCTGTGCGACGTCTAAAAATATTGCAGCAGTATATTGCTTGCTTTCAAAGCCTTGAACTATACTTTTTTTGATTCGAAGAAGCTGATTGCTACTTGCTAGTAGAGTACTTGGAGCGAAATCCGAATTGGAACTCTGGCAGTATATTCTCTTGTCTTAGGTAATCAATAATCGGTACCTATTGTTGATGGAGTTGATTTTGTGGGCAGTTTTTCATCCAAAAGTAGAAAGTAAATTAATATGAAACATGCATTTTGTTAATTATGTTATTTAAATAATTAAGCATACATTTATTTTATTGTTTAGACTAAAGCATTTCATCTGTCTAATTCTAATGTGTCTTATAAAAGTACAAAATCGTTGTAAACGAAATGTAATGTTAGGTAAAATATTGTGTGGTACTTTCAAAAATGTCACCTAAGGTCCCAACTTGTGCTAGGCGTCCCTGTAAGTTTAACTTTTCTCTGTTACATAAACCCAACTTGCAAAGTGTAGGGGCTGCTATTGCAATATTGCAGTTTTTTAATTCAAATTTTTCGAGTACTTATAGATAAATAAAGATTGATTACGATTACGCTTCAGAGAAATGGACCCGTCACCGCTGGGCATTGTTTTACGTTATACTCCTTCAGAATGGCAGCGTCACCCATACCAGGATACACTATTTATTAAAGTGGGTATTAATGTGGCGACAGAAGAATATCGAACTATAGACGAAATCGTACACAATACCTTTAGTAACGTCACAATCAACAAAATTCAAAGGATACAACATCCATTTGCATATGGAAGGTTCCATATTCGAAAACAACAGTTGACGTTGATTAATAAACGTGAGCCAACAGTATGAATGTCTCTCACCGATGCGTAATTTTTTATAGTTACATGTTTGCAGGTAAACAGAGTCTTCCTATCAATTACAGATAAATCAAAACTCCATTCCGTTCTACACTATAATTGCGATAGTCGACGAGGGGGTTTTAGTGAAGAGCATCTCCTGCCCTCAAATGGCTTTATCCTTATAATAAAAACTTTAAGCGAACTTCCATGTGAAAGGGACAGCGATCGTTACCCGGAATATTTAATCGCTTATAGACAAATCCATCGGTAAGACGTAATATCGCTTTTCAAATGAAAACTAAATCACAAAGTTGTATGTTACAGGCCACCCTCTGACAGATCCGTTGTATCAACTGCCCAACTTTCTTCATCCACTTCACTAACAAATGAAGATAGCAGGTCAACCCAACCCACTACCTCATCTTATGAAGACAGCTCGACAAAAAATTCACAGTCAAATTACGATGACTTTGAATATGATTGTCGATACGACGATTCGTGTAAATATCTGACTAGAGATGATTTTGCTCATACATCATCTTACGAAGACCGTTTGAAAGAAAATTTACAGTCAAATTACAAAAATTATGAATATGATTATCAAAACGACTATTCGTGGAGTTACCTGACTAGAGATAATTTTGCTTCTTATGCACCCACCGAAGGGTCATCTAGTGAATATCATGAGCCTGGATCACGTTGGTGGTTGTGGATAGGAGCAGCCGTAATTGTTGCTTACATCTACTGGAGGAGGTCCTCAGAATAATTTTTTAGATGCTTATGTTTAAACCTTTATAGTAAAATAGGTGTGCTTGAAAATGTACTTTGTTTATAAAGAAATGAAATTCGCATCGACCGACGAGACTTTTGGGGTCTGGTTTCTCGTGGAAATCTTCGAGTCTTCGCTTCTATTGAAAATGCTGCTAGAATCTTCGGCTGGGCGCAACTACGGCTCTCTGGCGATGATATTTGGTCCTCGGCGTAATTTGTCTCTTCTAGGTTTGATCTTCGTTCTTGGGAAACCACCCTGGTGAATGATCTAGCTTAAGTTAAAGGGGGGACGGCTTACCAAACACAAGCACGCCGCGCCGTCGGACTGTCTAAGTTTACAAAAAGGGCTTTTGCTAGTAGGTGATCAGTAAGCGTAGCGGAGTGTCGTGACGACCAAATAAAAATTCTGATTTTAAACATTTGTTTATATATAAATTGTTTCTCTATATTTTAAAACCACTAAATCCGCTATTGTTTAAGATATTCTTTTAAATCCTCCTCCTGACCCCTCTCGATGACTCCCTGGTGCTGGGTTTCTGCCCCCACCCACATAATTCTATTCATTCGTCATTGTATAGCCCTTTAAAACTATTGAAATAGCATGCCTCTCGTTAACTGTCCAAAATGTGGGTAAGGTAGGAAGACTTCAGAAACAATTTCGAATACATCAAAAAGACTTCCCAAACCCTATTAAAGTTGTGCAACTGCAAGTACGCAGTCTACTCTAAAATCTGAAATTGGAATAGTAGGTACGAAAGAAATCAAACTTTATAATTTTTTTTAATATGTTACACGATCAGATTAAAATTTGTTCGTTGTATATATCGAAATAAATCAAGTTGAATACCGAGATGCTATAAAATTCCTTGCAAAACAAGGAAAACCTCCAAAAATGATTCTTGAAGTTGTATACGGGGATGGTTGCTCCTCTAAGGCAACTCTTTACGAGTGGTCAAAATTGTTAAAACATGGTCGAAGACCGCCGTCTAGGGCGCCCTATTGAATACATACATAAATAAAATAAATAAATTATGATCCTGAACCACCAGTGCACAAGTCCACACATTCAAAAGCTCCTATAGCTGATTGTGACTTTGCAGAAATTGAACATCCACTCCATAGTCAAGATCTAGCATCCAGTGACTATTTTTGATTCCCCAAAAAAATCACTAAGGGGGACAAAATTTAGGGACAATGACGAACTTATCGCAGCTGCCGAGGGCAATTTTCCGACAAAACCAAATAAATATTTTTATACTGAATTAATTACCTGAGTTCAATAGTAGGGGAACTATTTGTTGCTCTAGTCTTTTATTTTCATGCCCAGTTCGGGAACATAAAAACGATCCCTCGGGTTTCATCGGATATATCTCCCCTTGGGACACAAAGATGTAGGTACGTTTTCTCCAGCTAGGACAATTCCCTTATAACTAGTCCAAACAGAAGTCAGAAGTGAGGGTAGACTGGTCAAAATGAACTAGATTGAAATGAAACGTAAACAGGAAAATTTAAAATTGAGTTGAGTTGATGAATCACAAGCGCTGTTATTCATAGAACAGTTACACATTGTATTGTGAATCACCATTTTTATCAATTTACCTACCTCACTGGAGGCGTGCAAAATAGTGAATAATCAATAATGCGATTCTATTATCAGCTTTGGTGTTCTTAGAAAAGGTTTATAATGACGCAGGATTCTGGTTTATTATGGCATGCTGTTCAATTCTTTTGTAATATGATTAGTTTTGTGTAATCCTTATTAATTTGCTGCAGTAATTGTTAATAAACATTTGCATTCTCTGAATTTCGCACTGCCACTATGTTTAGGTTTGATTGTTTAGTTTAGCTTTTTCGATTAGACTTCTCAATCAAAAGTTATGGACTAGAAACCAATTTCGAAAGAAAATTCAAAGGGCTGTAAGTTTTGAACTAGTAGCCCAATCTTGGAACTGTTTGAAATTATGGATTCTACAGGCCACATTCTATAAGAAATTTTTTTCCGGGTCGATCTGCGACAATTTTTTCTTCAGGCCTCAAAAAAAGGCAGTGTATAACCTTCCAATTTTACCAAAAATCGACTACAGCAAAATTTCTAGGGAAAACACTTTTTCTTATTCATTTTGGTGCGTAGAATCCAAGTCAATTCGTGCTTTTTCGGTTAGACTTCTCAATCAAAAGTTATGCACTAGAAACCAATTTCGAAGAAAATTCAAGGGGCTGTAACTTTTGAACTAGTAGCCCAATCTTGGAACTGTTTGAAATTATGGATTCTACAGGCCACATTCTATAAGAAAATTTTTTTCCGGGTCGATCTGAGACAATTTTTTTTTGGGGCCTCAAAAAAAGGCAGTGTATAACCTTCCTTTTTTACCAAAAATCGACTGCACCAAAATTTCTCGGGAAAACACTTTTTCTTATTAATTTTGGTGCGTAGAATCCAAAACAATTCGTACTTTTTCGATAGACTTCTCAATCAAAAGTTATAGACTAGAAACCAATTTCGAAATAAAATTCAAAGGGCTGTAACTTTTGATCTAGTAGCCCAATCTTCAAACTGTTTGAAATTATGGATTCTACGGGCCAAATTCTATAAGAAAATGTTTTTTCCCGGTCGATCTCAGACAATTTTTTTTCCGGCCTCAAAAAAAGGCAGTACTTTTAAGTTATTCAAATATTTGAGAACAATTTAGAAATGTTTAGGGAAAGTTTCCATTGTCACAAAATCAAATATAAAAATCCGATACAACTGAATACCGAACGATCTTGGAGTGAAACTTTTTGATTCGATAGTCTACTTAAAAACAATAGGGATTTTTCTTATATCCTTAAGACCATGTGTACCAATTTTCAAAGCGATAGCACGTTTCTAAACAAACTATCTTGCACACGGACAAACGGATGGTCAAAAATGGATCTGTTCCAAAATCGCTAGGATTAATTTCAGAAAGGCGTACGTATCATGTGCACGACGCTTTGAAAACTGGTACACGTATTCTTAAGGATATAACTGCTATAAGAAAGGTCCTGGTAGGTACCTCCTATATAATAATAGAATTATAATAATAATACGCTTTTACTCCCTTTAAAACAAGAGAAATATAAAAAAAGCTAACCCCATACAAAGTATAACTTGATTTTTTAAGTAGTATTAAGCCTTTTATCTAGTATACTATTTTAAATTTTTAATGTATTTTAGTGACAAGTATTCGAATACTTTTTATAGTATTCGAATACCTTTGAAAGTATTCGAATACATTCTAAAGTATTTAAATACTTATTTTTTAAAGTATTTGAATACTTTTCAATGTATCTGTATCTAGTATTCGCTTGTGCTGGACGTAAAAGTATTTAGTATTCAAATACCTTTGATTTGTGTAAAGGATTTAGTATTTAGTATTCAAATACTTTTTGAAAGTATTCTGCCCAGCTCTGACCGTATAGGTTCAAGCGGTTGGCTCCAAGTAAGTATATGTGATGCAGGCGAGGATGCAGGATTGTTGTTTACGTAGCGTATCGTTGCGCAAATATAAGTTTATAGGGACGTTACAGAATTTCATGGCCATGAATATACCCTACATAGAATTAATTAGTACAAACGACAGAATTTAGTTTCCCGCAGAATCCATTTTCCAGGTATAGGTCTGCTCTGAAAATCGCAAATATTTCTCGGGATCGACCCAAAAAGCACTCTTAATCGACCGGTCGATCGCAATAATTGACTGTTTGAGCACCCCTGGTGGAGAATAACAGCTCAAGAAACAATATTTTTATTTCTTGCTCTTAGCTAGAAACAGCAGAGATGTAGTGCCTCTCTGTCAGTCTTACATTCAAAGCTTCGTTCTTAAATTTTGTTATCATTATTAATTTTACTTTAAGCCGGAATCCTTAAAAAATGATCGAAAACAGAAATGTTGCGATTCTACCAATACGCAATAGTGCCTTATATGGGGTAAAGTGGTGCTAATCCAGGTTACATTTCAGCGCCGGTCTCGTAGAAGATCATCTTGGTGGTGAAAAAATTAAAAAAAACTGTTTTATTGACAATAGCTCTTTGTGAAGAATACCTTAAAGAAACGTAAACTGTTTGTTTAGGAACTCAAAAACCGTGCACTGTTGATGTATAGCATCTGGCGTTTCTCACGCAACACGACAATTTGGAGATGTTTCACGGTTTCACCCAGTCTTTGTTTGTTGCAAGAAAAACGAGGTGCTCCCACCAAATTTCTATAGAATTATTAAATTCAAATATTTTATTCCGAAATAAGGACATTTTGAGCTATAAGTAATTCACAATTTAGAAATTAACTCAGAATTCCGGAGTTGCAATTTGAAAACTTTGGATCACTAGAGTAACAACTCGGGATAAGTACTGTAAAATTTTGAATTACGTAGGTACAATTCAAAATGTTGGATTGACTCCCAAATTACAAATAGATACGAATCTTTTTTAGTTAACATGGTTTCTTCTAATTTTTTTTAAATTTCAGCATTTAAGCAGCTTGACAGCGGCCTGGACTACCACTCAAACGCATTACACCTACGTAAATAAATAAATATATAATTAATCTTGCAATGTATAAGTGAAAAATGATGACAGCAATGGTGCAAATATTTACACCCTATTTCTGAAAACAACAAATTGTCTCGATATATCATCATTAATTTTCAACAGCAAATAGATAAATGATTAGGATTGTTTATTTTGTTTAGACCATTTATCTAATTATCCCGGAATCCCGATAAGAGAGTGCTAACCGCACCAAAGCTCGCAAGAAACTTAGTGCGGGTGCGGGGGATAGCATTCAAGGGCAATGCTTTCAAATGATAGGTGCACAATGCTGTCATTCATTAAAATTTAATTTTTTTACTAAGCGGCGGGTGAGGAGAGACTTTAGATGATTCACAATTCGCATGCGCTTCGTGTCTACACTCCACAATTTAATAATGCTCATACTGATTACTGTTTTCGTTTTCGCATTCGTAATTTGTGCTTGACTTAATTAACGTACAGGTAGTGCTTCCTTCACTCTAGCTAGAAGGTAAGAATTTGTGTTTGCCAAATTTCTGCAGTTACCTATATTTGATGTGCGAAACGCAATGCAAATCAATCCAAGGCTTTATTTGAATTTATTCTCCATTTACAATCAAAGAACTGGGCATGTTGGGAGATGTTGAATTCAAAATTGAAAATTATTATCCAGTTTAGTGCTTTGATTCAAAACCAAAAGCACCCCCACACTTGGATTGCGTCGCGCCATCTTTACAAAATACATTTTCAAACATCTACAGGAAGTACCTACGTATTCTGGTATTCAGAGATATTATGTGCAGTACATACTATATACATATACCTCGCTATATACTTTTTTTATTGACGTCTTATAAGTTCTGCTACTAGCACATTTTTAAAACAATGGTATGAATAACGTCCAACACTGGAACTTTCATTAGTAGCTAACAATTAGTACCCATTAAAGTGTAGGGTGTAGGGAAACTATTACCCCCCCGGTTTTACTAGTCGAAATTTTAAAGAAACTATATATGCGTATAGTGACTGTAAGGCCACTGGTCAGGGTGGTATTTGGGGGCAAAAGATGGTATATCCGTAGATTATTAATAATTGTATACCTATGTAGGACTTCGCCTCCGCCACGTACGTTTCATATTCATATTCATATCACGTATTGACTTTAATATGGAAACATAACAGTCAAACGTATTATTTCCTTACTTGCTTACTTTGTTCAATTGCTGAAAAGAACACGTTTCGTTGTCCCATCATATAAATTTTCAATCACTCACTTCACTGTTGTTTTGTCATTATTTTGCCGTTAGATGTGTTGACTGACTGTAAAGTCACACTGTGGGCGCTACCGAAGCCACCGTAATATAGGGCTTCGGCGCTACACTCTCTAAAATTCCAAAATTGACGTTTCTTCTTTAATTTTTTTCTCACATACCAAGATGGAATTAACATATTTGCCTGGATTTTGAAAAATTGTAGGAAAAAGCATGTATCCATCAATGTTCATGAAAGTCCGATCCAACCAAGAAGTTCAGTTAGATTTTGTTTGAAAAGGAACTAATTTCGGATTGGTTATTTTCATATGAAGATCCTCGAGCGGAGCTGTTCACGGTTCCGAAACCTCAGTGGTAATTGGATTCACGAATACTTAAATAGAATCCTTTTCGACCTATAAAATGATTCGAATCGATCTTTTTTTTAAATAACGGAAAATACTTGACACGCTTTGTAAAAAAAATATAAATTATTATCTTTATTGAAATTTAATCAACAACAAATATCTCAAAGTTATCGTCGGTTATTCTGCTATTCTTCTTATTGAGGGAAAGGAAAATAACATCACGGCTGATCTGCAGGACGGTATAGAGATGTATTGAATTGCACGAATAATTTTTACATACAGTGTGTCCCAGGTAGAACGCACCATAGGGATACAATATATTTTTTCGCGAAGGATCCGCGAGACCTTTGAAATTGGATAAATCTAAGTGACGTCGAAGGATGAGCACAGACGAGATACCTATGTATACTGGAATCATTAGATAATTGATACAATCACTAGACAATTTCTGTAATAGCAAGAACAAAACTTTGCTGAGGATTGGTTCCATGAAGGCTTTGAAATTGCTCAAGCTGCAGTTAAAGGGTTTGAAATTTCAAATTTTAAATACGTTTCTATGCATATACCTAGGTGTAAATTTCGTCAAGAGACCGGTTTCTGAATTTGATCTATGAATTTCACAAAAGGGTTTTAATTCATTTGCAAAGGAACTAATTTTCTCCATACTTTCAAGGTCTATCCAATTGCTTTTCAACTACTTACTTATTTGATTTATGCATTAAGTACTTGTAGCAACTGACAGTATTACTTACTGCGATACTTAACCGAGAAAATGGACGGTGCACTAATAAAGGACTAGTAAAAATAAAAAAGCAAGTATAAATTGTGCATAACTCTTGTGCACATAAACCGAAATAGCTTCGTAAATGGTTGGGTTATAAGGTGCTATATTTATCGACGTTTACTTTCTTTGTAGATGATTAAAGGGGATGGGGCTCTTTTTTTCGAGGTATTCACAATTAAGTCTACATCGCCGGTAGATGTGTCTCGTCCAGACGTTCTTTCTGTTCTTTGAGAGTACCTTCCTCCGACACCCCGATTTGCACTGAAACTTTTGACATCGCTAATAGATATGTCTCGTCCTGATGTTCCACCTCGTGTTCCACTTATAGGTACCCACTTCCGACACTTCGTTTTCAAAATATTGGCTTCGACTTCACCAATAGTTCAGACGATTGATGAATACTTTGGCCCGATAAACCGTTTTTAGATATTCGCTGTTGACATCAGCAATGGATATATTTCTTCCAGACGTCCCAATCGCGCTTTGTGAGTGCTCCCCCCCCCCTCCTTCGACAATCTGTTCTTGAGATATAAGAATTACATCCGATCAGGATAAGGGGTCGAAGAGGATTGACTATAGTGGGTAGAAATTAATTCTTTTCGTTGAGACCTTTCATTACAGTACCATGAAGGATAAAACCAGTTCCCCCCTCCACCCGTAGCCCCCTTCTTTTGATAAGGACTCTGCAAGAAGGGCGGTAGTTGGTAGAAAACAGTACCTTTTGTCGAGACCGCATGAAAGATATAATTAATCAGTCGGTGAGCATTGCTCTTCAACCGAACTTCACCTTTGGGGTTGCATGTAGGTATGTGCATTCTCCTAAATATTTAAATTGTAATTAATTGTAGATAGTATTTGTGAACTACTGAACTGAAACTCGTAACTATATAGGACACCGACATTCCGATGCTGATGTGCACGGCAGATAACCCATCCGCTATAACCAAGAATTTAATCTGTTAAAATAACAGGAAGCAGAATATACTTTATTTACTTATTTATTATCTACCTATCGCCTACCACGTATTTGTCGGATAGCAGTACCAATCCTATGATAATTTAAAAATAGCATGCTTATTCTAGACGTGTGGTCGTCATTACAGTAGCATTGAATTTATAACTATAAATTCAATGACCGTAGTTTCATAGTCACATTTTATTTTGGTGGTAGTAAAATACACATGACGACATTTTGACAATTTCTTATTTAATTTATAAAACGTAAGGTTTTATTTGTTTATTGTTTTTGAACTATTCTGCTAAAGAGACATTATTTGTTCTCCTGGTAACCAAAGAAAATTTTCAACATTTTTCTCCTGATCCAAGAATTTTCATGGTTTCACAGAAAACAAAGTGTTAAAACATCCCTTCTTATTGTGTATTGTGTCGTCTTGACAGACAAAGAGCATTTACACTTTTTTTTTCAAGAAATAAATCGATACACGGAATATCGAATACTCAAGGTAAGTATGGAGGAAACATCACAAGCTCATCATGGAACAGTCTATTCACTTTGTCGAATACTCACTTTTATTTTATTGATTTTTTAAACAACGCGTTTCTACAGTCTGTTATAAGTTAAGTCGGCATTATTGCTAACTGTCTTAGTTGCAGAATTAGAAATACGGTTAAATTATCATATTGTAACGGAAACGCTCCAGACATGACGTCGCCTTTGGCGCTCTGGAATTTTCTACGCGCGCGATAGTGGGATATGTACAGGACTATTCCAGACTTATCCGGAAAATTACGCGAATGTAACGAGTACAGATGAAACATAGAGCGCGGAAATATAAATTGCGAAGTGTGTGTGATATAAATAATCGATATAAATTGTACGGTTTTTATAGTGTTTTAGTTTTGTTTAATAAATATTAATATAAATCGAACCCGAATTTATAAATCACGTTACAATATTTTTGTCTACTGAATCCTACTGAATCTTAATTATAGACTTAAGATAACACAAACTTCGAGTTCATTTTGCGTTACAATAATTCTCAAAATTCTTTTTATTTTTACCGAAGTGTAACAGCAAGAAGTTCGTCTTAAAATAAACTGGAAGTTGGTGTTTTCCACTAACTACACAACTCTCCACAATATGTCATTTTATAATTTTTATGGATAACTAGAACAAAATAAAAATAATTCAAAAATCTTGGTTAATTCAGTTATTTGAAGTATTCTGGCTATGATACTGTAACGTTAATTTAATTTCGTCTTTTATTTATTACAACTAATTACAATAAATTTATAAATGTAAGAGCTGATTGCATCAGTATGCATAGGCATCCTCTCACTACTGTGCACCTTAGTATTTCGTCGCCAACGCTGATATGCATCGCTCTAAGATTCAGCAGCTGTGCAATCCAGCCAGAGTAGGTAAACTAATTTAAGAAATATGTGACGCCCGAAAAAGATTACTGCTTGAGAAGCTCTGACATATTGGATATTTGCGAAAAATTTTTACAAAATCGAGAAGATAGTTTACTCCTGTACACTCTTAATACAATGTTGCACCAAGCAGTAAGTACTCTTCTTACAGTTGATATATTAGTTTTACTGCATATACTAACGCATAATCTTCTTTAGCCAATTCCTAAGTTAGAAAGCATTTTTACTTTTTCGCACCCATATATGGGTAGGTACAGTATTTGAAAGCACTGGAACTACTTGTGGCTGTTGAACTTGCAAAAATAAGACAAAAACACCCATAACAGTATATCTGTCATCATTTTTCAGTTGTTCGCTGACCTTGCTGTCGAAACGCGTTCGGGGTGTTAATAAATTATTGTAGTTTATGGGTGTTTTTGTTTTACTTTTGCAGGTAAAGGTATTGTATTCATCACAGTCCGTTGTCGGTTGTCGTTGCTGTCCGGATTGTTAGCACGATAACTCAAAATTTAATGGGACAAATTGTGTACATTTAGGGGTATTACTTGCCGCATGCGCAGGGGTAACTTTCTATTTATGGTAGGATCTTACTGTAATTTTAACAGCAGCACCTTTTAAATCGATTGTATTAAACACAGGGGGGGATAGTGAGTTCCGAAAGAGTTCAAGTCGAGGTTCAAGTCTTATAAAATGGGCTTTTCAGTGTTGGGGCTGA